CACTCTTTCAACTAATACTTTTGGCCAACGTACATCTCATACTCTCAGCTAACCTTCATATTACAAGACTCTTAGCTCGTTTTTTAGATTTATGTTTGCAAAAGACTAGTACTTTTAAAAATAGATTACCACTGACAATTTGGTGGGATGGTAAGGCTTCTCATTTTCCTCGACAATGTCGGTCTTGAGTTCGAGTCAATCTCTCCACCATGGGCGAGGTATATAAGCAATCCACTTTGTGTAAGGGCCACGTGCCACCCTATATCTAAGTATGCCACCCTATATCTCTACAACCTTTAAGACTTTACACAGCAACTAAGAAATCGATCTGGCAGCCAAAAAGGCCAAGAACATCAACAAATAATTGATAACAATGTTCAAACTTGGTCTTTAGAATTTGGGTCCCAATCATAAAAATGATGTTCTTTTTACTGGTCAGCAATGCAATTATAACAATCTCCAAAGTTTTGAGTCCTTATCTGATGCATAATGTGATGCTTTCTCCTTTCCCCTTCAATTATATGTAGCGTGGAGAACCCACCAAGTTTACCACACTTGAATAGAATCCACAGAAATATGAAAATCAGGAAGAACAAACAGCTAAGAAGACTTCCTTGGCATGCCTTGAGATATTTTCTTTGGGTTTAGGTGGAATATGAGAAAAACGAATGCTTCATAATATGCCAGCTTTGCATTCACACTTGACCAATCAGTGATCAAAGCATGGCGTGTGTTGGCATGTCATATTGTCATCTGTGATGTTATTATGATCTCCCTATAATTTTGACCATAAATCATGCCAAGAAAGAGGTGTGAGTTGTACAATTTTGCTCCATTCAAACATTATTTCTCCCACTTCAATATGGAAAACATCAATTCCCCTTCCCTGTACATCAAATAAAAAAGCCTTGACAATGACTCATTCTTTGTAAAAGTTAAGAACTACTACTATACTCTACTAATAAGTTCATTCTTATCCCACCCATTGGTTTCTCTCAACACGTGGTGTGCACAGGAACACAAGTACGATGCTTTTTTTCACAGCTTTGTTTTGGTCAAAATAAAGATACCAAACAAAAAGGAATCTTCCCCCAACAAAAATCTGATCCACAGAAATAGACTTGTCACATCCTTTTTCACATTTTGGCCAAGTCACCCACTTATTGAGAACCGTAAAAGTTCCAAGTATTCAAGAGCATACTTACTAAGGTGGGTTTTCCCCTTAGAAATCATATGGTTGAGTTTTCCAAGTCCAAGCTCCGATTTGTAGAATTTGAACCATCCCAAAATGTTAGTATCTAAAGCAAAGTTTGCGGTAAATGCTTCCCTACTTCCATGCAGAGTTCTTTGTGTTAGTTACCTGTAGAAGCAAAGGGCCCTCATCTAAGTACCAACAAAAGCAAAAATGCATTAAAAATTTGGGGGTGATTTTTTAAGTCAAAATCTTACTTTGAATAGATCCCCAAGAAGACACGGATACACGTGTGCATGCGTGTGTATGTGTATAAAATCTAAATTACTGTGTAATTATTTTTTTTTTTTCCACACCAGTGACAGCTGTCAACAATAAGATTGAGCACGGCAAGGTTCTGATTTGTTATTAAAAATAAAGCTAAAACAATAATAGAAAAGAAAATGACTTGGGAAAAAAAAAATTCATATTTCGTACATCTGGGGGACTCCCACTATGTAATAAGGCCAGAGGGGTGGTTGAACAATGGTGAGGGAATGAGTTTGGACAAAAGATAGAAGAGACAAATTTGGTGGAACAGGATGATAAAAATGGTTGTTCCCGTAGCTCTAGGAGCATTTACTAAAGAAAAGGAACAAAACCCAACAAGGGTTATGATTATCCGAAGTTCCTTGGACCTAATAGTTTATACTTAAAAGATGCCTTTATTCGACCCATAATGTGGCTCTACGTTATCTTTGGTCTCATGCAGTAGGTGGCATGAATTCTTCATCTCATGCCATAAGTAAAATATAAAGAAAATAAATAAATAAATAAGTATCTAGGAATTTTTCAAGCTTCTTCATTCCAACGACTCCTAAATACTAGGTAACTTGTTCACCTAAAATTCAAATACTCACATGTAGAAATATGAAACATTTGCATCAATATAATAATACTATACAGAGACGAATAAATAAGCAGCCCATTACTTTGTCTCCGTATCCATTCAAAAACACAAAGATATGGGCATGTTGCAAAACTGTTTAGAATCATCTTTCCACCAGTGTACTTGTAACTAACGATACTAAAACACTAATTTCTCGGACACTAATTTCCAATCAGAGCCTAGATTCTAGTCTCCCAATGAAAAAATAAAATAAGTTATCAATTATCCTCTCATTAGAGATTAGATTCTTCAGATAATATATTGCTGGACTTTTGACCTCCTGAACTCCCAGATGGGACCAAGATTTATTGATCGTCACATTCAATTTGTTAGGGAAAATTGACTTGGCGTGATAGCAGGATAAAAAGACATGTTAGACCAGTCAAAAGCCTGGCTAGCAAAAATGAAAATGTACTAATTAATATCCTAAGAGCTGATTTTCAAGAGGGAAAAAAAAAAAACAAAAAGTCTTGATTGTGACCCCCAGTAGTTTTCCACGTGTAGTTCACCTAATCTAATCTAATGGATAACTATTATCCAAAGTCAAATGTTATGCGCCAGAATTTCCATTTGAGACAATATGAAATGAGTTAGGCACCAAAAAACTACTGAAATAGTAATTGAGTGATTATTCTATCAAAGTAAATTGTCGTGGAAATAAAACAAGAAACTTTCTTCAGCAACATATACAGTATTCAGACCTGAATGTGTATTCCAATACTAACTGCTGCTATTGGCCGATTTGTTTGTGCAACATTCCCTGTCTTTCCATTTTATTGCTACCTAATAATTACAAAAAGCAGGGTTATAACATGAAGACCATATCATAAAGCAAAATACATAAACAAAATATCGAATTTCCAAAATGGGGAAAAACAAACAAGGAAGAAGGACATGACGGGAAAAAACAATAAAGAATGAGAACTAATAATAATTTACCGCTTGATAAGCTATACAATACGTACCACTGGCAAGTTTTTCTTTTGTTTTTCTTTCTGTTTTCCCCTTGAACCTGAGAGTGGGGGATTTGAACTCTACATCTTGTGGTGGAGCAAGATGTGGAATTACCACTAGGCTATGTCTGCAACAAGACCATTAGTAAGTGTTTGGTCCCAGATTCCAATACAATGATATGAAAAAACATTGATCATTGCCCTTCAAAGATGGTCCATCTCCTGCAACTACCAACCCATCAGCCATCAGACAACAGTTTCATAGATAATCCCTAGTATACTAAAAATATGAGCCAATATTAGCAGCTAGCCATACACCATTTCAATTTTCTTGGATTTGGCTTCGTAAAGCTTTGATAAAAACTTGCATAAAAGAGAGATCAAGCTACATAAGGAAAATAAGATTGATTTGATGTCTATTATTTAGGCCTCGTTTATTTCACCGATTCGAGTTTTCAGTTTTAGGTTTCTACAGTAAAAAGCTCTCAGAAAATATCACATCTAACTTTTTTTGCTACAGTAAAAAGCTCTCAGAAAATATCATATCTCAACTTGAATTGAAAACTCGAATCTGCAAAGTGAACGAGACCTTAATATTTCCACTTCATCAAGTGCACACCATTTTGTAAACATACAATGAAGGGCAAATGTTCTATTCAAACCAACTTTTGCTTTCCTCATTTTGTCCATCTTAAGAAGTCAGAACATCTTCAACATTTCAAAATGGCATCAAGTAATGGGTTCAGCAACAATAATGTTCGTCATAGCAAGAAAACAACAACGAAGTTGGAGTAAAGAAAGAGTTAGGTAAATTTTAAATAGGGTCTTTCGATTGTTGTTAAAAGTAATAGAACAAGAGTCATGCAATGTCTAGAATACAACCAAAATACATCAAAGGTATATCCATATGTTCCTACTTAAGTACTGGAAATAGATAGCCACATATACATAGAGACGAAGTAAAATAGAATTTGTTCTAAGACTTGAGAGCAAATACATGTCCAAAAAAGGCACCAGGTGCAGTCCTTTTTAGAGCAGATGATAATTTTGTCCAGAGAAAACAATCATCAACCTAATTCTAGTTTCTGATAAACCTATAAATCCAGAAATCTACATCAACATTCCGCAACGTTTTCTAGTCCCTCAATTTTACACTTGCAGTTAGTACCATCATAGTTAACCATTAAAGGGAGTTTCTTTTCATGCATACCCTGGCAATCATTTGCAAGAAAATCTATACAGAACATCGGACAATGATAGAACTTTGAAATCAGAATGAATTTCTGTATTTCTTGAATAAAATTGTGTACAACTATTAGACCCTATTTATCATACAGGGGAAAACAAAAAACGGAAACTAATCTCCTAAATTGAGAGCTAATTAAGGGCTGTAAATCAGCCAGCTAATCTATAATCAATCAACACCTAATTTACAATAAATCACTACAATTTCTGCCACTAATTACACTAGGTCAGCTGTGACGTCAACACTCCCTCTCAAGTTGGATTGTAGATATTTACCATATCCAACTGGCAAATAAAATCATCGTAACTTTGCCGAGGTAGCCCTTTGGTGAAGATGTCTGCAGTTTGTTCTTTTGTAGGAACATAAGTCATACAGATGATTCCGTCTTTCAATCTTCTCCTTGATAAAGTGCCTGTCCACTTCTACATGCTTGATTCGGTCGTGCTGAACTGGATTGAGAGAAATACTGATGGTTTCTTTATTATCACAGTAGAGTTTTATTGGAAACTTTACTGTGACATTTAGTTCTTCCAATAGTTTCTTTAACCACAATCCTTCAAACATTCCATGTGCGACTGCTCTAAGTTCTGCTTCAGCATTGCTTCTGGCTACTACATTTTGTTTCTTACTACTTCAAGTTACCAAATTCTCCCAGATGAAGGTGCAATATCCAGAATTGAATCTTTTGTCTTTAGTTGAACCTGCCCAATCAGCATCGGTGAAGACTTCTATTTCCTTGCTTTCTCCTTTCTTGAAGAATAGCCCTCTGCCTGGGGTGCCCTTGAGGTATCTTAGAATTTTGTACACAGCTTCAAGATGAGTTTCCTTTGGTGAGTGCATGTGTTGGCTCACCACGCTTACTGCAAATGCAATATCTGGTCTAGTGTGCGATAGGTAGATAAGTTTACCAACTAATCTCTGATATCTGTCCTTTTCAACTGGATGTCCGGCATCTTCTAATTTCCTTCCTGCTTCAATCGGCGTGTTACTCGGTTTGCATCCAAGCATGTCGGTTTCAGCAAGAAGTTCAAGAACATACTTTCGTTGTGAGACACTAATACCTTTCTTTAATCTCGCGATTTCCATCCCCAAGAAGTATCACATTTGTCCTAGGTCTTTTACTTCAAACTCAGAAGCTAGGATTTTCTTTAATCTCTCCATCTCCACTATATTATCTCTTGTTAGAATTATATCATCGACGTACACAATTAGAATTGTTTTCTTCCCATCTTCTGCTTGTTGGAAGAACAAAGTGTAATCTGACTGCCCTTGCTGATATCTTGTCCCTTAATCACCTTTGCAAATCTATCGAACCATGCTCTTGGTGACTGTTTGAGACCATATAAAGACTTTTTCAATTTACATACCTGGTTCTCTTCACCCCTTTTGCAAAAGCCTGGTGGTATAGTCATGAATACTTCCTCTTCTAATTCACCGTTCAGAAACGCATTCTTAATGTCAAGTTTTTGAAGAGACCGATCCAAATTTGCAGCTAAAGATAAGAGAACCCAAACTGTATTCAACTTTGCTACAGGTGCAAAAGTCTCTGTATAGTCGATGGCTCGATGCCATAAATTTGTGTAAATCCTTTTGCAACAAGACGGGCTTTGTAGCGTTCTATCGTCCCATATGCTTTATACTTCACAGTGAAAACCCATTTGCAGCCCACTGGTTTCTTTCCTCTCCGTAAGTCCATCACATCCCAAGTCTCATTTTTTTCTAGGGCCCGCATTTCTTCCATTATTGCCTCTCTTCATTCGGGCACTTTCAGCGCCTCTTGTATACTTCTTGGAATTTTTGCTATCAAGGTTAGAAGTAAAAGTACGAAATCCAGCAGACAGAGCTTTATAAGACATGAATCTCGAGATAGGATGGAGAGTGCATGAACGACTTTGTTTTCTGAGGGCAAGACTCAGAACTACCTGAATGGGACTCATGGATACTTGGAGCTATCACCGGTTCTGACTCTCTTGGTGCCTCGAATGTGAGATTCTCCTTATACCCTGATTTTGGCCTCCTTGAATAAACAAGTATCTCCTTGTCATTATGTTTTCCTACATCTCCCCCTGAGTTCAAGTTTTTTTTTCTATAAATGGTATATTAGAACGAGGAGATGGTGTGGCAGGTTCAATGTTTGGACGAGGAGATGGTGTGACAGGTTCAGTGTTTGGGACAGGCTCAGATAGAGAGAGATCGAAGTCCAGGAAAGAATGTGCTTCACTCAAATTCTCCCCCTAAAGTGAAGGCTTCTGAAAGTAAGGAGTGTTTTCAAAAAATGTGACATCAAGGCTAACAAATAATTTTTTTGTAGATGGATCATAGCACTTGTATCCTTTTTGAATAGGAGAATACCCGATGAAAACACACTTAAGAGCTCTAGGATTTAATTTACTTCGATGATGAGAATGGACATAACAAAGGCGGTACAACCAAACACTTTGAGGGATAGATTGGAGGAGAGCCGAGAGTTAGGGAAGATCTTCTGGAATTTTTGGAGAGGTGTTTCAAAAGAAAGAACACGGCTAGGCATTCTATTGATGAGATAGGTGGAGGGCAAAATGGCATCTCCCCAGAAAATCTTGGGCATATTAGTAGTGAACATCAGGGCGCGAGCAACTTCGAGGAGATGTTTGTTTTTACGTTCGGCAACCCCGTTTTGTTGAGGAGTATTGATACATGAACTTTGATGAATTATACCATTTTTTTTAAGATAATCTCCCAAGCTATGATTGAAATATTCTTTGTCATTATTAATTTTTAGAATCTGAATTTGTGTCTGGAATTGTGTTTGAATCATTGAATGAAAATTGATAAACACAGAGCGAACATCAGTTTTTTCTTTCAACAGATAAACCCAACAAACTCGAGTATGATCGTCAATAAATGTAACAAACCATTTTGTGCGAGTACGATTAGGAATCCGAGATGGTCCCCACAAATCACTGTGAATCATGGTAAATGGTTTTGAGGGTTTATATTTGGACTTTGGAAATGAAGTACGTTGATGTTTCGCAAGTTCACAAATTTCACATTGGAATATTAAAGGGCTTTTTATTCAAGAAAAATGGTAGGAAGTAGGTGTTTCAAATATTGAAAATTTGGATGACCCATCCTAAAATGCCATAACATAATTTCACTATCCCTAGAAACAAATGTAGAATCACAGATTGCAATTTGACGTTGTTCACTCACTTTGGCCTCCTCAAAGTAGTATAGTCCCTCACATTCCTTAACACTGCCAATCGTCGTCCTCAATGATAGGTTCTGAAAGACACAATGAGAGGAAAAGAATTTAGCAGAACAATTCGAGTTTTTAGTCAGCGAGCTAGACTCTACGGTTATAGAATCAGAAATTCAAATACTCCTTTTTCCTACAACAGACGAGAGTGAACCATCTGCAATTTTAACCTTAAGATTGCCAGCACATGGTGAGTATGAGGAAAAAAGGTGATAAGAATCAGTCATGTGATCAGAAGCGCCAGAGTCAATGATCCAAGGAGTTTTAGTTCGAGAGGTGGTACTTAAGGCTCTCAAAAAATTACCTCTGTGGGCTAGGGATCCAAAGGGAGTGTTTGTGGAAGACTGACCGGATGTTTGGAAGCTAGAGAAAATTTTGTAGAGTTGTTCTGACTGTTCAGGATTAAATGCACCACTTGGAGAGGAATTGTTGTTGTTGACCTCCTGAAGTTTCTCCGCCTTATGTTCTACAGTGGTTTCCAATCAGCTGGTTTCCCATGTATCTCCCCACAAATGTCTTTTGTGTGTCCAGTCTTACGGCAATGATCGCACCAAGGGCGTCTTCTTTGTTGATTTTGACCTGACCTAGTAGTTGTTCCTCGAGTCACCATGGCGGATACTTCAAGCCCAATAGGCCCATTGGGCCTAGTAGTAGCTTCTTCCTTCAACATCACCTTCCTCCAGTTTTCTACACGTCTGACTTCGGAGAAAACCATGCGTGTTGATGGCAGAGGACGTCGTCCGAGGATTCTCCCTCTAACCTCGTTCAAATCTCGGTTGAGCCTAGCAAGGAATTCATAAACTCTCATTTTTGAGTTTTTTTTTTCTTTTGTAACTAACACTATCTCCGGTACATTCCCATTCTTCTTCAACACTTAGATCAAGTTCTTGCCAAAGGGCTGTCATCTCCATGTAGTAATCCGTGACATCCCTATCTCTCTGTTTCATTTGCCATAACTGAGTCTTGATTTCAAAGATTTGAGACGAATTTTCTGTGTCAAAATACGTCTCACGAACTGCACCCTAGACGTTCTTCGCTGTTGACAAGAATAAATACGTCTTTCCAATAGAGGGCTTCATGGAATTAACAACCAAGCCGTCACCATTGAGTTTTCGGATTTCCACTTCTGCAGAGCGACAACGTCGGTTGAAGCTGGCTTCTTCGTCTCGCCGGTGAGGTAACCCAATTTCCCCTTTCCGTCGATTACGAGTTTGATTGATTGAGCCCATTCAAGGAAGTTTTTTCCATTTAGCTTCTTCATCGTGAGTTGAAAGGACGAGTTGTCGAGTCCATTTGAACTCATCGTGGAGATCATCTCTCTTTCACCGTCGGGATTTTCAAAGGTTACCGAGCCTCTACTCTTGGCACCGGTGTCCATCTTCTGATAGATAGGATTGGAGAAACCCTAGCTCTGATACCATGAAATCAGAATGAATTTCTGTATTTCTTGAATAAAATTGTGTACAACTATTAGACCCTATTTATCGTACAGGGGAAAAACAAAAAAAGGGAACTAATCTCCTAATTTGAGAGCTAATTAAGGGCTGTAAATCAGCCAGCTAATCTATAATCAATCAGCACCTAATTTACAATAAATCACTACAATTTCTGCCACTAATTACACTAGGTCAGCAGTCAGCTATGACATCAACAAACTTCATGAATGAAAATCCATAGGTGCAAATATTTTTATCAAATAACTAAAACTGATGGGAACTGTCTTAAAAAACATGGAATAATTCTGATTAGATAATCAGTCACCAATTTTGGTCAGACCTACCAATCTCCAACTTTCTAACTAAAGTGGCAAGCTTAAAAACCAAAGAGATCTGAGAAAATTCTATTTTGTGACCCCACTTAAGATCTTCATCATTACTTAACACCAAGGCTTTGTTCATTTCTTTTTCCCAGGAGCCCCTCAGATGTATAAATAAACACAAACACACGCGCACACACACACACACAAATCAAGTTTAAGTTTTACTTGTCTCTGCATGTTTGAGCTAGTTGTTTACCTTTCTTACAGTTTCTCTAAGATTCCTTCTGCCTTAGACTCTAGCTGAGTATTGGCCACCGCACTGATGTTGGCATGTTTTTTAGATGCTTCCCAGATAATAAAGTTAGTCATGTGGTACATGCGTGCACACACCTTATGAAACTCAACATTCACAAACCCCCATCCACCAACCAACACACACATTTGTCATGATGGTCATTGACAGAGAAATTGTTTAACATTTGTAGATATCAACAGCAGCAATGAGCATTCTTATATGTACTATGAAATACAATACTAGGCCCAAGGGAATCGAATCCCCACCTAGATTCTAATTACTACATTGCCCCCTTCCTCATAATTAATTTCCGGAAGTATCTCGCTCATGTTGCTTATTTAGTAGAATTTGTCTCTCTTCTTCTGTTCATAATTGTTACATAAAGTCATCCTAAGCCATTAGCCACGACCCATAACTCATTTGAATGTCCCATCCAACAACTAATGAACATGCCTAAACTTTCCGCCTATAAATCCTTGCCCTTTCAAAAGACCATTCAGTATATAATGCTTGATGACCTATATCAACCTACCATATTCAAATTCTGGAAAAATAAAATTAAAAAAAAAAAAAAAAAAACCTTGTTCATTATCAGCACGTCCTACTCCAACATGAATAGTCATGGAAGAGATGTTCTCTTTTTTTGGACAAGCGACAGAATTTTAGTGAATGAAAACCCAGATTACAACAATCCAATCAAGGTCAAAATGTCCTCGGGGGGAAAGGGGTGCAACAAAAGCTACACAGGTCCCACAGCATCTAATAAACCCACAACATGCGACCTTAATCAAATAATATCACTCAAGTCGAGCATAATTGAAATAACAATAACTAGACGAGTTAAACACATAAACATTCATATGATAAAACACAGTCACATTGTACAACATCTATGAGCAAATATAGGATCAAATAATAACTAGTTTCACCTACCCTCAATGCAAGTGTTCCTCGAGTTAATCTTATGGTTTCTGTTAAACTTTTATGCTTCAACTTTCTTCTTAATTCTTTTCCACCTTCTGCAACTTACTGCATTACATAAAGCTATCTATCTAGATTCCCAAATGATGTAACTCATCCATCCTCATTTTACACAAATTTTCGCGTAAGAAGAACTAAAGCAAAGTTCAAGCCCATAGGAGCACAAGATGAAAGCTAGAAGGAACGTGACAATGTGCGAGGAAATATATGTTGGAACTGAATCAATAGACAGTGAATTTAAGGAACAACTGGTTTCATCATTCGTGCAGCAGAATCCCCAGTTAATGAATTAAGGAGGTAATGCATTTTAGTTCATTTTAAAATCTAATATATGATAAAAAAAAATAAAAAATAAAAACGTTTCATTTTTAATGATGACGTAAGCATTAGGAAAATGCTATGCACCTGTGTGGGAGCCCACAGGAAACTTTATCCTGAAGGTAAACTGACGAGCCATTTCTAGCTGATGAAACTTTTATACAAAAACAAAACATCCTACTTCTCCCAAAAGGAAAATCCTCGTTCTCTTACAACTCTTCTAGTCTCGGGATCACGAAGAAAGTGTGTACGTTCATTAAATTTCTCTGAGGTCGGTCTGCTTTTTCTATAGGGCTCTGTACCGTCTAGTTGCTTGTGTTCTACATCTGCTGCTTTCTGCAGCTTTCCAGACAACCATGCTTGGAGCATCTCTTCTGTTCTGGGTTCTGGCAAATAATTTTTTTCCTTCATCTCCATGTAATATTTGTAAGCTTCCTCCAACTTTCCATTTAGGAAGAGCCCATGTATCAGCACTATATATGAGCTCCGATCAGGACCGACTCCACTTTCACTCATCTCATTCCACAACTTGCAGACATCATCGACTTGTCTCCATCGACAAAATTTTCTAATCAACATTATGTAAGTATCAGAATTTGGTCCACAACCCGTATTTTTCATCTTTTCCAAGAGCATAAAGACTTCTTCCACAGTCCTTAAAGCACGGAAGAAGGCATGGTAAGTCTGAACTGAGGGAGGAAGGCCGTGCCGCAACATTTCATCAAAGACCTGTTTGGCTTCATCTATTTTTCGGGCCTTACAAAGAGGCTTAATTAATGAGTTATATGTGACAGCATTTGGAGCAACGCCCTTCTCTTCCATTGTTCTCAAGAGATCAATAGCTTCCTTCACAAACCTGCCTTTACCAAGAGCATGAATCACCGCATTATAAACTTTCCGATCTGGAGCAATCTCCAGTGCCTTCATCCTGTCGAAGATCTTAAGCACCTTATACAGGTTGCCTGCTTTTGAATGACAAGATATGATACTTGCATATGAAACAACATCACGGTGGACGCCTCTCTTGCTCATTTCCCACCAAATTCTTTGTGCCTCGCGTGGACTACCAATCACATTGCACCAACCATTGAGAATAATGTTAAAGCTTTTCGTATTTAAAGGGAAGACATTTTTGTTGCAAAAGAGCAAGTGCTCTGCATCCTGTACATTCTTATACCGACAAAGAGCAGAGAGAAGTCCATGGAATTCATCCATCCCAACACAAAAATTAAAACGCTTGTAAGCATAGAAAGTGTTCATCGCCCTCCCAACATCATGCACCGCACAATATCGCCTAATCATGATCAAGAGCGTCTGCGGAGCTACAAGAGATGGACCAGCTGTTTGCGTCCTCATCTCATCAATCAAGGCCCAAGCAGTGTCAAACTTTCTCATCTTCCCAAGAATAGCGATCATCGAATGGTATTCCCGCACAGAGTGAGCATAACCCAGCTGCTTTCCAGCCCACAGAAAGAAAGTGAATGCTGCCTCCCAATCATTACGAACTCGTCCGAGAACCTGAGCTACCAACTCCGACGATGCAACTACAACACATTGATCAAGCTTTCTCCTCATCTCAGAACACGACGTCCCATCACGTAGTATACGCAAAAGAGCTTCTATGTCTCGGTCAAGACTGTCATCTTTTTCTGAATCAATTCTTTTAAAATTGGTGTCACCATCTTCACATTCACTATCGACTTCACTGTTATTGTCGTCGTCGTCATCATCATAAACGCCAGCATTTCGACTTATTTTCGTTGCAGGAGCCTCCGAGGTTTCACCTTCGGAGTTTAGGGAATCAGAGGAAGAAAAAGGGAGGACTTGGACATAGCATTTGCTTAGGGCAGGCAACAATAGAGATGGAGTGGCACAAGGCCTAAGAGCTAGGCCAAACTCCGCAGCAAAAGGATTAACAAAATGGGTGGGTTTGGGTTTATTGAGATAATGGTTAACCACAACTGATAATAAGCCTCTTATTCTTCTCATCGTCCCTTAATTCTACAGAACACCAATTGCTAAAACACACTGAACTAAATTTTGATGTTTTCAGAAACCAAAAATGGAGGAATCCTACAATGCACACCAACTGTTTGTTAAAATAGGTAAATGAACTTCCAGAAACGCTAATTAACAGGAAACTGTTTGGTGGGGAATAAAGGTTTGTTTATGAATAAAATACAAAGATAGAAAGTGAAATATCGGAAATTGGAGAAAGCCAAATTGAGTGAGAGTGAGAGTAAAGGCAAACCACGAAGATTAAGAAGAAGACAGCAGAAGAAACTGCAACGCTGATCGGTCCTTACCTCAAATCAATGGCGCTTAGCCCGTCCGCGTTGCAGCACATAGCAACGGCTCGAGATTTTATTGCGTTCAGGATTCATCACAAGAGTAAATGCTTTCATTGTTGAGACTTGAGAGGTGAGATTTGTTTGAACTTCCAAGGGGCTACAGTTTCGGCTTCAAAGGATGCATATCGCCATTTTAAGGGGCATTTGGTAATTAGATATTTTGATGCCAAAACAATTTAAGCAATTAGCAAATTCATTTCTGACTTTTAATTTCGTTATATTCCTTCGCGAACTCTTAGATCTCGTTTATTTTATCGATTTAAGTTTTGAATCACAGTTTTATTACAGTTAAAAACTCTTAAAAGAATCAGCGAACTAAATGAGGCCTTATTGGGATTATATGCATAAGGATTATTGACCAAAAATCTTTTTAAAGAGTACATGTCAAAATTATTCCTCGATTGAATATGTGGGAGATAGTCTCCAAAATTATTAAGGAAATTAATACATCAAATAATTCTTTTTGAATGTTAGAAATTATAATTTCATTAGAATTAAATTTGAGATGAGGGAAATTTTTTATTGATAGTGATTATGTAGCATTGAGTTTTGATTTGTAACAGGTTGATACAACCCTTTTATCACCTATTTAATGAATGGGTTGGTAGGTTGAAATAGGTCAACATGATATTATTATGACATGTTTAATAAAGGGATTAGTCGGGTCGAGTCGTGTTAATCTGATAATAAACAAATCGTGTTTGGGTTTTGTATTTTGACACGAATAATAAATGGGTCGTATTCGTGTCAAGGCTTATTATAGTATCAACTGAGGGGGTCAACACGACACGGTAACATGAATCGCCACTTCTATCCCTGAGGTTTAGCTTTAATTTCATTTTAGTTCCTGACTTTTTAAACATTGTAGAGTTGGTATATGAGATTTTATTCTATTTTAGTTTCAATCCTTCTGTTAGTTTGGTGTTAAATATTTGATAGAATCTATAGAAATTATGGACTAAAATTGAAAGCATATAAAGTTCAGAGACAAACAATACAAAAACTAAAAGTTAACTTTCACAGATAGACTCAAAATTTTAGCTGTTTCTAGTTTTAGACTCTATTTTAAACAGATTATATTAAATTTTAACGCCTAATTGATGGAATGATCGAAACTAAAATAAAATAAAATTTTAGAGATCATGTGAGCGATGTTTGAAAAATTAGGGATTAAAATGAGATTAACATGGGTTGACTGTAAATTTTAGAAACTATTTGTGAAAGTAACCCTATATTAAATGCATATACTACAATAGAGAGGTTGATATGGTGGCAATTTAGATCGTAGTCGAAAAGAGTTCGCAAATTTGATACATGGGTATTGGGTTGAGTGGTTTGAGTGGTCTATCTAATACAAATAAACGTGAATTAACATGATTATTTGTATGTGTCAATTACAATTAAATCGTATGATATAATATAAAAGTTAATATCAGTTATTCAATACGTATAATGTGAAATTTGAAATTTATTGTTAAACGTTTTCTAGGTGTGGTCGTTGTCGTGTTGAGTAGCAAAAAGTCAATCAAAATCTTGTATACGTAAACGAAGATTCAACCATCACGCATCAATTTTAAATTAAGAATGTCTAGTTTAAATTAGAAAATGAAGTTTATACTAAAAAAATACTGCTTGGCTTAACTGATTTCCACCCTCCCTCGAATTCTCATCTTCAACGAAAAATAATTCTGAAGAAAGTGTTTTTGAAACTTTTTGCAAGAAGAAAATGCAAACATTCCTCTAAAACAGATTTCAACTCCACATATTTGTAGGGTTGTAACCCAAAAGATGCTGCACCAGTTATTAATCTAGTAAAGACCCGTTTAGTTCGCTGATTCGAGTTTTTAATTCGAGTTGAGATCTAATTTTATGTGAGCTTTTTAACTGTAACAAAAAGTTAAATGTGACTGTTTTTAAAAGCTTTTTACTGTAATAAAACTCAAATTCTAAACTTAAATTAGTGAAATGAACATAACCTAAATAAGACTTTTGTGTTATTAGTTCATTTCCATAAGTAACTCAGGCTCAGCAATGCACGATATTAATGATTTTTTTAAGCCTTATTGTGTTATTATTTCATTTCCGTAAGTAACTCAGGCTCCACAGACAGCAATGCATAATATTTCCATGATTTTTTTATGTATATACACCCCATTATTAGTCATGCTGATGGTTACCATGCAGCTCCTATCGAGTATCGACCACATAAACGGGAAAGAAATCAACAAAAATCCCCTCTACCTCCAGATAGGGACATATATATAATAAAAAATACGCCAATCTTTTTCACACCAAAGAAATCTAAATGAACTAATGGAATCACATTGTTCACTTGACAGTAATAGATTGAACTAGCTGCAAATGAAAAATAAATTGCACCATATTCTCCCATTATTTCAAACCTGTATACCAAAATCCAATTCAGAATTCGATGCGACACCGACGCTCTGAGGCCAACTTCTGCGCATTGCTCGGAGACTGGATGACAAATAGCAAGGTTGTGCTCAAGTTTGAACAGGTTAGCTGAAACGCGAAGCATAATCTATGCTGATGAGACAGCCTCTATGGCACTGCCTAGCGGCCATGCTGCTTCAACCAAGTTATTATGGTATTCAACTTGTTTCACCAACTTAATCTCTTGCCACGGGTCCAGACCTGTCCAAGAAACAGTAACTACCAGTTTGAACAAAACAGAATACGGATTGGGTTTAATGGATATAAAACCCATTTTTAACTTTCTAGTCTGAATACAATGCACATATGACTTACCAAAACCATCAACAAGCAATTTGTACTGGTAAACAAGGTCCATGCAAAGGTATGGCAAGTTAGACTCCTCAACACGTGGGTAAATGGATTTGGCTTCATTGTGTGTAGTTTGGCAAGCACGCTTAGCAGCGTCTTCAAAATCAGCAGGATGAACTTTGGCAACGGGCTCCTTGGGATTGACAAAACCGGCCTATATGTGCATATTATGCGGTTAGTTTAACCATCGAATCACATAGAAGTGAAACTGTAAAAGACCATTTCTTTAACCCGTAAGCAATAGAAATTCTGGATTGCATAAGTACCTCAGCAGCCCTGTCAAAGAAAAATGAAGCAACGAAGAGGTTCCTTTGTCCATCTCCTCCCCCACCATTCCATACCCCACCAAATGTGCATTTCATGTGCGTACATGTGTCTTTTATTTTGAGAGCCTTGTCAGCTACCATCCTACACCCATCAACGCTTGAGCCAGATGAGGAAGCTGACGCTTTATAAGTATTTCCCCCATAGGTAAAAGACCCTGAAATAGAAATAAAGACGGGTAAAGGAAACCACAGATCACATGGTAGATATTCTTCAAATCTTTCCAACGACACATTTTAGTAACAGTAATATTCAGCTCTTTTATCTACTTCAAATCTTCTTAGCATCTAAAACCAAACTGGAAGAACAGAAAACTAAAAAGAAAAGCTTAAAGCTATAGTGAAAAGGCAAGAGACCCAACAGAAAAGTTGAGTCTCAGAAGCGCTTGAAATCACACCTTTTACATGATCAAATGTCCATGAAAAGACAACTGATTCCATGTCATCATTTATAATTGAAAAGCTACCACACAAATTAAGACCAAACACTTTGAGGACGCATCAATACCGTAAGTGAATATCAGTCAGTAGAATTTTTATATTTTCAAGAAGCACTGAATAATGCGCCCAAAAATAATTCTACAAGCAAAATGGTATTGAACTTTACACGAAATCAGGATGATGTCCTCAAAAAAAAAAACAATCAAAATGCTTCTCTGTTCTGTTTTTTGCAGTTTTGATAATAAAATATCTTTCCATAAATCAAGACTTTCCAGCAAATTTGAGCTCATTGAATATGCACTCAATAGGTCTGATCTCCTATATAAGCATTAAATGCAACACCAAAAAGTAAACTATGAACGCAATATGATTTAATAGCAGACACAGAATCAAGAGAAAAGAAAAGAAAAGGAAAAGAAAAAAAGAAAGAGACGAATAAGGGAATGGTGGAACTCAACATACCATCATAGCCAGATAAAATGCAGGGGTTCCCAGATTCTCCAGTAACTTTTAAAAGCTCTGCCCGACCAGCTAGTAAGCCATAACGCAGGTAACTGTGCATAAGATGTAAAACTGGTATTAACACAGGGTGTTGTTCACTAATCAGGATCTAAAATTTGTGAAAGAGAATTAAGTTCCCATATCTTACCTACAGAATTGAAGAAAAAATGGGGAATAATTAACGTCTTTACTAAATGTAATCTCACCATTTTCTCCATGCAAGGGTATTTGTGTAACCACGCTTATTTATTCTAAATTCTAATTCCTTGAGTAAAACAGTAGAATAGGAATTTTTTTTCTTTGGTAACTTAATTTCTCTTATGGATTTGTTTCTTTTTTTGATAACCATAGCGTCCAAGACTTTGCTCCAACTAATCCATGGTCATGGGATCCATGCAAAGTGCCCCCTCCACATAGATTGGGTAAATCCCCGGCTTTTGGCCCGCAGGTGTGGCCCCAAGGAATTGATAGCACTCAATAGGAATTGAACCTTAGACCTAATACTTCTTGAGGCACCAAGTCCAAGTGGTCCCCCGTAGCCACATGAGGCTGGCTCAAGTGGTGGGGTGCGTGTCTGTGTGCGTGTGTCCACAGGGTTCAAATCTGGTGGCTTCATTCATTGGTTCTTACAGTTGTCATAGCTTCCTTCGAACATATTCATACTTTCCTGAAACTTATCCCATATTCTTTGAATTTATGACTATAAGAACCATTCCTTGGTTCTTACAGTTGTCATAGTTTCCTCGGAACATATTCATACTTTCCTGAAACTTATCTCATATTCTTTGAATTTATGACTATAAGAACCAAGGAAACTATGACAACTGTAACAAACGAATGTCGGCAATACAATTGAGGAAGCAAAACATGAAATATGGTAATACACAGACTATCATATAACTACAAAATCGTGACAATTATATAAGTGAAAAGAAAGAGAAAAACCTGTGAACATAGAGGAAATATTTTTTCCCTTTGAGAAACATTTCCTTCACATATGTCTCCTCTCCATCTGTTGGTTTTGGTGCCTTCGCAGCAGCTGCCTCGGAAATGGCATAAGCCATTTGAACAGATCCACCTCCAAGGTCAACCACTCCAACTGTACTTCCATATTTCTGCCCCAAATTGCCAAGTAGGAAATTTATTGTCACCTGTAAAATATAAAAGCAACATTACAAGAAAGTCTATCCAATGTCCACCCCATGAAGAACAATCCACATCCTAGTCTCTCATGTTTTGTGAAGTTACATATAGACAGCCCTATAACACAGGCACTTTCATAAAGATTTTCAAGGCTTTCTTTTAGCAGAATTTTTTAAGACAGTTTGGAAGATAGCTGTGTGATTTGGGATAAAGTAAAATATTGGGTCTCAACATGGGTTTACAGGGACAAAGAATTTGGTAGGCCAGTTTTTTCACAGTTGGTTAAATGCTGGGCACCATTTTTGTAATTCATCCCGTTTTGTCTGTTTTTTATCTGGGCTTAGTCGACTACACGTTATGAAAACCTAGATTCTTTTACAGGCTTTTCCAAGCAGTGCACTGATGAATTTTTACTTTTAGTCGTCTTACTTTTAAGCAATAAAAGCAAAATCCTATCTATAATACAATGTGGAGAAGTAAGATTCATCTTGGGTTTCTAGCATGCACGGTTACAAAAAAGCCAGTGGATACAAAAGATCTGAGTATGATTCAACCTCAAGATATCCTTTTTTTTTTTTTTTTTGAAACGAAACAGAGAACTCTTATTAAAAAAAGAATAATTTACAAAGGGAAGAGGTTTCCCAAAGTAGGACAACAAAACTTGAAGATGAAGAATATAGCTCTCCTAGGTAAATGGCTGTGGATATTTCCTTTGGAACAAGATGCATTGTGGGCTAGAGTCATCATAAGCAAGTACGGGCTGCAATCTAATGGGTGGGACTTGAACCTAGTGACTAGAGGATCCTTTAGAAATCCATGGAAACTTATCTCCCAAGGGTTGAACTCTTCTCCGAAATGTCAAAATCTTATTTTGAAAAGATAATTGGTGCGAGAATGAATCCTTAGAGCATTTATTTCCTCGGCTCTTTAGACTTTCTGATCTTCCAAACGCTTTCATTTATGATATTGTATCATTATCTAGTAATGATAGGGAGGTAGAGGATCTGCATTCTCTACTTCAAGTTCTTAACTCTGCTTCACTTAGTTCATCTTCTCTTGATTGTAGAGTGTGGTTGTGTGATCCCTTAGGTTTTTTTGTCGATCCTTTTTTAGTTCTTTAGCGGATAGAAATGATATGCCAGATTTCGAACCTTCTAAATTCATTTGGAAGACTTGTGTCCCCCATAGAATTAAAGTTTTTGCTTGGTTGGTCTTTCATGGGAAACTTAATACTTGTGATAGGGTGCAGAAGAGAAACCCACATATGGTGCTTTCCCCATCTTGGTGTATGCTCTGCAGGGATAATAAAGAAACTATTGATCACCTACTGCTTCATTGTAGGGTTGCCAGATCACTTTGGAACAGAGTAAGTTTGGACGCGGGATTTTGTTGGGCAATTCCACCAAATTGTGGTTCTTTGCTGGTTGAGAGAGTGGTGGGGTTCGGTTCAAACAAAAAGGCCAGAGTTTTATCGAATAGTATGGTGCTTTCAATACTATGGACTTTGCGGATGGAAAGGAACGCCCAGATTTTTGAGGAGAAGGAAATGGAGATAGTGGATCATTTTGAGAAGGCAAAGTTCCCCGCGTCAACATGGGCTGCTTCAGATAAAGCATTTAAAGGATTCCCGTTTTCTTTGGTCATTTTGAATTAGAAAGATGTAATAGGCAACTGATTTGAAAGTTATTGTTGTGTTTTTGCATTTTTGTACCTGGTCAGCTATTGGCCTTTTTGTTTTCCTTGGTTTTGAGGATACCTTATCCTCTGACCTAGTTTATTGATTCTATCAATAAAGTTTTTCTTATAAAAAAAAACATAACGTGTGGTCGACTTACCATTAAGATTCCTTAGGAATTTAAATTTAGCATACATTCGAACTCATTCAAAAAACATATTAGTAGAATATGCATCTAAGTAACAACAAAAACATCAATAACTGAATCAAAACCCATATAGGAAAGAACTAAACATCACAAATCATACCCATTGATAGGATCCTTCTTGAGTTCCATCAATAACAGAAACAGCGTCTGACTCAAGTTTGAAGGTACTTCTGTCTTTCAGTAGATCTCTAACCTTAAGATAAAAGAGTTTTAGAAGTGTAAGAACTAAAAACCATTAAGACGCCATAAAATACATGTTTACCGAGATAAGCACATGTAAAAGACAAACGAAGGAAAATGGTATGCATCATTAGAAAACAGTTTTACAAAACACACAGAATGTTGTCATATATCCATTCAATGATGTTCAAGATTAAATTTTTCGCAATATGTATCATTGTGCAATGAAGAAACGGAGAGTACCGCTTGCAAAATGCGTTCAGAGGTATCTCCTGGCAAAGACCTCAACCCAGCAGTTGCCTGCAGTATCACAACAGTTCAAATTAGTTCCAGTTTCTAAATTTTAAAAGAACAAGAACAAGAGAAATCGCAGGAAGCGGAAAATGTGAAAAGAAATCGAGTAAATAACTCACCCCAACACGAACAGGAGTCGACGCGCGAAGATTCTTTGGAACCACATTTACCGCTTTATCAAGGAGGCCAATCAAAGATTCAGCAGCAGCTTTGGGATCACTTGCGTACGCGCTTAGTCCTGGTTTTATCTGCATTGCAAATTCATTTTAAAAAAATTAACCAAAAAAAAAAAAAAAAAAAGCCCATTGTTCGTAGTAATAAAAAGCTAACCTGCTCGAAAAGCTCGAGATCGTCACCAATGGGGACGAGATCGAGGTTGCGGTCAAAGCTGAAGACGTGTACGCGACTACCGGAGCTACCGGCGTCGAAAATAACCGCGTAAGAGTTCTTCGACGACGCCGAAGAAGAGGTAGTGGTCGATCTGAGGAGAGCCTGAGGAACTTTCGTGTGAGCCATGGAGTAGTCCTTGAGGTAAGAAGAAGAAGATCGCGGAGGCGCAACGTAGACGACGAAGGAGACGAGGAGCAGAGGGACGGAGACGAGAAGGAGAATCCCTCTGTATCTCTGGATCTTGTCGCGGAGCGAATCATGACCGACGAGGCGACCGCCGCCGGGACGCTTCAGCATCTTGTCGGCTTCGAAGAAGCTGTGGTGGTGGTGATGGTTGTTGTCTTGATCCGACGGCGGAGAATTCGTCTGGTTCTCGAGAAGCTCGGCGGACGACGGAGATCGGTACCGGATCTGACCGTGGGCAGCGGCAGCCGTGGCGGCCGCGGGCGGAGCCTTCTGCTTTGAATCCTGCACAGTCTCCAGCTCTGCTCTTATAGGGCGAAAGGATTTGGTGGTTTCTGGATTTCGAATTCCGAGTTTTGACACAGAAATTGCGAAATGCAAGATCAGAAAATGCCAAAATCACGGATATTTGTTGTGATTCGGATGAAATGCAGACAAAAATCGATGAAATCGATTGGAGTTTCAAAAATTTACCGAATGGATCTTCCGAGTTCTAACCCCGGCGAGGCAACGCCGGTGGCGATCGGCGATCGGAGAATTTTGCGTCTCTTGCGTTTGTTAAAATGCCCGGCTGAGAATATAAGAAATAACAGAATTTGAGTGAAATGTAGAAAGGATAGTTAAAAAGGAGTCCAAAAGAACCTCCAAATGCCGAGTGATCAGAAATCAGAAAAATAATAAAATAAAATAAAAATATGGAAATTAAATTGAAAGGAAGAAGCGGAAGTCTACTCCTCCAGGATGGGAAAAACGTTTGGGTGCGTTTCGAACTTTTTTTTTTTTTTTTTTAAAAACGTTTTTACATATCTTTTAAATCACAAAATTAAGTTACAAAAATGAAAACGATTTATAAATTGCATTTGTTTAATAAATATTTTAAAAATAAAAAATAAAAAAAATAATAGGTGCGTTTGAAATGTGTTTTAAAAAGATTTTATTTTTTGTATGAAAATAAAAATGAAAACGTTTTTAATTTCAGACAGAAATCATTTTTGAAAATGCGTCATATAATTTTATCAAGAGATTATTTTTAATATAAAAAACCCATTAATGTCTCTCTCTCTACTCGAGAGAGGAGAACGAAAACAAAAAATGAAAAATGACTAAAAGTCATTTTACACTAAACTGAAAAATCATTTTCATTTCCGTTTTTTGTCTTTAATTGTGTCAAACTTCGTTTTAAAATCGTTTTCATTTTTTATTTCTCGAAAAACGTAAAAAATAAAAACAAGAACAATTCTAAACACAGTAAATGAGAATGATTTTCATGAAAGAAGTAGAAAATAATTTAAGGTTTTTTTCCTTTTTCCGTTTTCATTTTCTAGTACTTATCAACAAAGTTATCTTAAATAATTATTATTAATTACTAATTATACAACATATTAATTAATAATTAATAAATAAATATGACTAATAACTAATAAATAGAAAGAAAATACTTAATTATTAATTAATATTAATTTATTATTATTAATTTGTAATTTATGAATAAAGATGATAAATGTAGTTAATTATTTAATTAAAGATTAATTGTCAAAAAGTGATTATATAATATATTAATAATAGAATAATTCATGATATGTTATTAATAAATAACTAATTATTAATATATCAATTATATATTACATCAAAATTATAGATTACATCAATTATAATCTATTAATTAGTAAATAGTTGATAAATAAAACACAAACAATAATTACTCAATTAATAATTATAATTATTAATTATGTAATATACTAATTTCAATACTAATTAATATTTTATAATAAGCAATTAATAATTATTTAATAATAATTACCAAAAAGTGGTCATTTAATATATCAAATAATATAGTATTAAATAAATATTAATAATTAATTAACTAATTATTTAATTATGTGACTAAAAGCTAATTATGTAATTAGTAAATAGAATATTAATAAATTATTTATATGCTAATTATTTTTTATTAATACACTAATTAATTAAATATAAACTATTAAATATGAGTACGTTATTAATAGTGATGTCAAATGTGCCGTGCCGGGCCGGCACGGAACGCTTGACCCCAGGCCCATCACGGGCCTGGGCCGTGCCTGAGAAGAAAAACTCAGGCCTGGTCCAGGCCCTTGGCCCTAGTCCATAAGGGCCAGGGCCGGGCCGGGCCTAGGCCCAGGCCCTTCACGGGCCGGCCCCGGCCCTTGTATTTTTTTTTTAAATTTAATTAAAAAAATATCAAATGCCCCTAAATATGTGATTTTATTGAATTAACGTAATAGGAGTACACATAAATGACTGCCTCGTTAAAAATCTTGCTAAGTAAAACCCGTGGGGAGATCGGGACAAAACCTTAGCGAAGGAAAAAAGAGTGCAGTAGCTAGGAATAGTAAATTACAAACCTAAGTGCTTCCAGAAGATTCTGTTATTTCTAAGTAAGAAAAATATTCTTGCATCGAATCATTTGTGTATTATTATTTTCGTCTTCTGGCATCTTCCCAGTCTTTAACGCACATTAGTCCCTCCAAGATATCTAGATGCATTCTGCTTCTTCTCGTCAAGAATTCGGTTGCTTGCGCTAAAAGCTTGCTCCGATGCTACCGTTGACACTGGAGTTGTCAGAATGTCACGAGCTATTATGGACAGTGTTGGAAAATGATCTGTCTTGCTCTTCCACCACTGTAAGATGTCTAGTTTGTTGTCATCGATTATAAAATTTGCTTCAAAATATTTGACTAGTTCCGTAGACGCTTGTGTTGAGGACGATCCTGCCGTTTTCTCTTTCTTCTTCAAAAAACTCCATGACGATCCTTTAGGCCCCAAACTGGTAGTTGATCACGAAGTTCCCTGTTCTTTTTGACCTGTGCTATATTTTGCTTCATACAAACTAAAAACTTTTTCTAACATTTTCTTAGCGTCAGTAATACTTAGTTGCATATCTATTTT